TGAACTCTTTACCACTGTTACGGTAATGATGCATTATTGGCAAAATGGAAAGCGGATTACGTTTACAAAGTACATTCTTAGGGTCCCGTTGGCAAGAAATATTGTTAAATGCCTGTGTTCCCACGCGCACAGAGACCTATAGACACCATATTTAGCAGTCGTTCTATAGGTCATTAGTCACAATACTTGTACATAACAAGCTTGCATACCAATAACTTTCGACTGAACTCCTTAAAAGTTGATTATCAACTCATTTAAGTTATTCAATGCACACGCAGTTCATACGGTCAATAGCAAGTCAATATTTCGTTTTGACTGACTATGGACGCTCCATTGACACACGAGAAAAGTTTTAAACATAACACACTGTGAAAGATATCTTTACGAAACTCAAATTGAGTTCTTTTATGCTATTTATTTTTGTCAAGTCGGAATCAATAAAGCGGAATATTTACTTGCACCGTAGTATGTCTAAGACCGTGTTGACCATAGGTTCAAGATAAGAATAATTGCATGCAAGACTGACGTGTTTCGAAATGATTTTTTACCAAAAAAAATTACAAGATGGAACCAGCTGCCTTCTAGCATTGCCTCTACACTCCCAAATATTTGTTTTATTTCATGTTAGAGTTGTTCCGATTAATATGTTAGAACATGTTCCGATATATATATGAATTTCTCTTGCAGATTGTGATTCAGGTGACTGATTATTTGTTTGGCTGACTATGTATTTTTTGTGTTCTACTTTTCGTAAATGCTCCCGAAATGTAATGCCAATTGGTGCTGTGGGTAATGAAAGAAATGGATAAATAAAAAGTGTCGATAAGTAAGCAATAAATTTAAGCACAAAGAATGTATCTATTCAGGAAAAGTGGACTAACAGTGACATGTGCCCACCACAAACTTTAAATATGATGCCAAGTTACATTCTAGCAAATAGTTGTTGAGAATAACTTGAGATATATTGAGGATAACTTAATTGAACAAGAATGTTCAGGGGGTATGTACTGCCTTTGTTTTGGAGATGATTGTGACTGCATGCAGACCTTTCAACAAACAGGTATATTTCTAGCTGAAGAATGATTTGAGCAGCTATATTTTTTGCCGGTGACACAGGCTGAACTAATATAGATGAATCATTTGAATGGCTTTATATAAAGGTATCCATATAAGGCCATATATGAAAGCATCCATATAAGACCTTATATGGATGCTTCTATATATAGCCATATATGGCCATATACAGCAACACCCATATATGGGGATATAAGGCCCATATATGGCTATATCAGGATTTGGACATATCAGGTTATATACGGCCCATATATGGGGATTCCATATATGGACCAGATAAGCCCAATTCCTGATGTAGCCTTATATGGGGATTTTTATATAAGTCCATATATAGGATTTTTGTAAGGGTGGGCTTAGTGTGCCTATTTCTTCGTTCTCCATGACGACGGATCGCTCTTAGCCGTTCCAATTCCGCTTGATGTTGACAATATTCTGAAGTATGTTGATTATTATAGGTCGCTTCTTGAGTAGCACCTGTAATCGTATCCTCGAGAGTGTCAAGAGGAGGTGCTTTATTTTCTTGACACCTCTTTTCCGTCATTGACCTGAACTTTGTCCAGTCGATGCGAGTCGAAGTATCGTAGTTTGGCGATTTTTTCCGGCCCTTGATCTTTAAATAAGTTGGTATGTGGTCGCTTCCATAGTTTCATAGTCTGCGAACCACTTGACCTTTCCATTTAGGCTTCGTAACACAAATTTCAAGTCAAGGCAGGAGCTGTATGTCGTTCCCCGTAGAAACGTTGGGCTTCCGTCGTTTACACAAAGCAGCTGCTGCTCCAAAGCAAAGGAGAATACTGGCCTTCCGCAACTGTCTGTCTTCTGACTTCCCCATAGTGGGTGGTGAGCGTTGAAAGCTCCGGTGATGATCCATGGTCCAGGTGTTGTTGTTAACAGTGCACGTAATCTTTCAGGTCCAAAACGGTTCGAAGGTGATATATATGCGCCTACCAGCGTAAAATTGAGGTCTCTACGTTTAACTGTCAAGCAGACATACTGGTTGTCATCGTGTAGTGCTACACGGTGCTCGATATAGGTAAGGTCGCAGCTGATATATACAATGACTTTACTCTGTTTGTTGCAGGTAGCGGACTTGAAGGCTTCATACCTGGATAGTCGTATTGCATTGTGTAGCCGTAGCACACAGATAACAATGATTGGAAACTGGTTTTTAAGCACAAATTGTCGGATATCAGAAATGCGGGGCTTGAGGCCTTGGGCATTCCACTGAAATATCGAAGCTCCTTTGACCTCTTTACGAAAGGCTTGCAGAGACGGAGCCATGGTGCCTTTCCAGACTTGATAGCACCGGCTTCAGTGCATCCACTAACTGAAGTGCACTCTTAGCAGCCGGACTGTCAATGCTAGTGCGGAGCATATGAATGGTATTCATAAGGGCCTTTACCATGGCTACGATTTATTTGTCGCGACTATCACCGCATTCTTGTTCCGAAGTGATTGTAGACGAGCGATGCGGCGGCTCAAACGGCGGGTCTATCGTTGGCAGCGCTGGCCATGCTTCAGGCGAGCCGGTGATGCTCTTGTCTTGCTTGGAGGATTTGTTGTCGACGTGTCTGGACGCTTGAGGTGTTATGCCGGTGGTTATTTGGTTAGGTTCAATCCTTGCTTCGGCACTGGGTCTCCTCAGGGGCCTCTGGCGACGAGACTGCCGGCGTCGTACTTGGGCAGCGGCCTCCCTGTGAGTTGAGCCATCCCGGACCATTTGCCTCAACACTTGCATTTCCTTTTTCATGATTGGGCAATCTTTTGATGATGCTTCGTGAGGGCCATGACAGTTTCAACATTTTCGAAATTCTGCCTGGCAAGCGTCTGTGCTATGTGATTCTGAGCATAGCGAACACACAGCCAGGTTTGTACAAACAGCACTGACTTGTCCTAATCCATAACATTTCGGGCATTGAAGGGGCTTTGGTACAAAGGGTCGCACTGTGTGTCGAAAATGGCCGACCTTGACTTGCGATGGAAGGCTGTCACCCTTGAACACGAGCTTCACGCAGCGTGATTTGCCAAGGCGACGAGCTTGCAGTATGGTAAGTTCTGCAGACACCTGTTTGATGCGAGCAGCAAAGTCACTTTCACTGATGGAAATGTTGACGTCGTAAATGACACCTGCTGTAGAGTGCGGCCATCAGGTGTATATGAGCGAACATTGATGTTATCCAACATCTTGACATTGCTCAGCACTTACAATGTGCTTTGTTAAGTGACGTCTACGGCGAGGGTATTCTTACGGCCATTGATCCGCACGTCCGCGATCTCTCTCTGGGCGAGTTCCTCAAGAGACCTAGACGTGAGTTGACGATTGAGCCGGTTGAGACTATGAGCCGCCTCGAGCGGCAGAAACAGAGTTGTGTATATCGTGGGCTCTCGCCTCTTTTTTTTAATTAAATGTATTTAAGGAGAGGTTGGTGCTCTCGCGTCTTCGCTGCATTCTTATTTGTTGTTAAAGACGGCATCACTAGCCTTCTTTTTCGCTGCCGCCTTGTCACAGGCATGAAGTAGCCTTCTTAGGAGCTTTCGTCGCTGGCCGTAGAGTAAATCAGCGTGTCCTCGCTGTCGGCATCACTCCTCTGCTCGGGAGGTTCTTACGCGCACAGGAGGTCCATCTTTGCAAGGTGTTACGTCACACTAAAGTTGAGCCGCTATCCCAGAGTTTCTTACACTGACTTTCACGCTTATTATTCACCTTTAGCTTGCAGTTTGTAACCTTGGGACATATCCTGCTTATTTGCCTGCACTGTATTATCCGTTTTCTTACTCGACTACTAAGAATAATTGATGACTTGATTTACTTACACTACTTGGAAAGCAGACTGTGAGTGGAGCTTCTACATACGTCGATGGCATAGAATCCGCCTCGATGACTAAACTTGTCTGCCCATTCATTCATCTCCCTGTCACGTATTACGTATCCGACTGAAGAAACATATATATATATAAAAAACGAATAAAACTTGTAGGCTCTGTTTAGTTTCGTAACCACTGGCTCGCGCTCCAAGACGAGTGCCTTAAGCTAAAAGCCCAGGCATGCACAGGATCACAGAAACTCGTGAATGCGCCATTAATAAATTCACGATTCAAGCAAAAAAATAGCAATGCTGCACTGAGATTCGAACCAAGGTCCCCACGCTTCAAAGGCGAATGTATTAACAACCGGGCAAAAAACACAGGTTTACGGGGTGTGTGCATCTTTCAACCTTATTAATGCGTTGAAGATAAATAGGCCTATGAAATAAAGGAAATCTTCGAGGCTGTGCTTATATTTGAACACACGGTGCCACACTTCAATGGTCTCAGTCACTGGGCTAAAAAAGCACACTTGCAGAAGTTAGGTCTATCTTGGTTAACCTGCCTGCCTTTCTTCTTCGTTTTTCTCTCTCTCTCTCCCACATTAAGAAAAGAACAAGAGTACATAGGCGAAATTCTTCTAGTTGAAGAAAAATTCTTCTTTGTCCGGGAAACAGGACTAACTTTCTTTCAACTAGAAGATCTTTGTACCGAGAAATTCTTGCGCATTTCTTCGTTACTTTATGCTAAGAGTGTGTGGCTGTCAAATTCATTTCTCCCTTTCATAAGCCTTCGCTACCTTGCGGGGCTCCGCAGGACTCACTCGCTGTAAGAAGGCTCACCAATAAACGCACTGAATAAAAAAGTAGCACCCTTGGGTAGCTTCGTAGGATACTGTTCCACGTGAACATTTTGCGAATAAATTTCAAATACCCAAGGCATCGCTGAATAGAATGCTTCAAATTGGGGTCGTGTGTTACCTGTGCGATGTACCCAGAGTTAGGCTCATTAGAAGCATCGTCTTTTTCTATCACAGAATTGCTTGTCGTGGAGCTCGCGCAAACAAACAATCCTCCAATGGCACAAGGGTACAAGAATGACGACAACAGCGAACAAGCATGTCATAATCCTTCAACTTCAACTGTATTTTGAACAGGAGAAAGTGAATGACTTTAATACAGTAGGGCATAGAACAACCAATAACATCGTGATCTTATGTAATGACCTTGATTGATCTTGACACAAATATTTGCATATGCGGTTCTTCATTCGACGAGCACACTTGCCGTGGGTTTTCCTCATATACACCTTGAAATATCATTGCGCTATTTATTATAATATAAAACTGTCACAGTGGAATCTTTAGGCGAACACAGAATCATCACTCAGTCTAGTTGGCTGCATATCTCCATTAGCTTTTCTAATTTATGCCACGAACGAAACATTGACGAATATCGTTAAGATCATTGGGATTAAAACACAGCGTGATTAGAGCAAACCGTTCAAAGTTACACAACGTGACTCGGACTGTTGCTCAGTTTTAACTTATTTACATTTGCCACAAGTAGAGGGCTATTTTGGTTCACATCATATCGCCAACACTGCTGTGACGACTGGACTTATAGAATGTGACATGATGGGTCCCAGGAATCGTACCTCTAACTCTTCTAACTGCGGATCAGTCAAAGCCCGCATCAGATCACGTGCCTTCGAGGACTTACAGTATGGGCGTCGGCTGACGCTTTGCAAAAAAGACAACGCAGAAATGAGGTAAATCTGACACTTGTATTGCCTGTTTTACGAGTACTCTACAAAAAGCTTCTAACGTGTTCCAATAACATTGCAAGTGATTTCTACCACTGTCAGCGGAGTGCTTCGTCGCAGTGCTGCTTAGTTAATCTGTTTCTGAGGCCTGCGATTCTAATTGCGTGCGTTTATGCATCCAGGAAATGCACAGCACAACTGTATAGTGTTTATCTTAACGATGCTTGCGAAGCGGTGGTATGACATGGTCCCACGTCAATCTATGGACAGGGAAATAGTGGAGCACAACCGACATCGCTGTGTAGAAGCAGAGCTCGCTTTTAAAACACAGAAAGCCTAAATAATAAAACCAGCACTCTACGACGAGCATGCTTCGCAGTTTACCGTGAACCACACTGGTAGAGATAGAAGTCAGTTCTTTGAAACGTTTCGTGCTGGGCTCGATCTTCACCGAAGCGTGACTTACTCTGTGCGGTAACGTACACGCACTGTGGAGTGAATACAGACTAGATGCAATATCTTCGCACGAGTGTCCATATATGCTGTATTCTTCTCTGTTAGACGCGAGGAACGGTTAGCGAGACGTCCGCGTAAACAGGAGTGCAAACGGGTGTTTCAAGGCACGGGCCATGGCATGCCACTGAAGTCCGCCGGTCCACCAAGTCCAGCTTCAGGTTCCAGCAAGCTCGTGATGACCGCCATGGCCGCCTTGTTGTTTTCTTCACTGTTGCCCTGGCTTCCGGCAGTCAGGATGTCCCGTTCAGCTGTTCACCACGTGAAGCTGTTCACCAGGTCCAGATCTAGAATGAAGAAGCTGAACGTAAAACTACAGGCGAGATATCTTACTGAGGTGAAAATACGCGTGTGGATCACAGTCTTATTTTAGCGAGCAATTGTTGATGCACTTGTTTCACGTATTTGCTATTGCATATTTCTTGTGCCGTTAGAATTGTTCGTGACCCTTTAACAAACTTGGGTTCCAGGATGCAAGTAAAGCGTCGTTCAAAAAATAAGAATGCAAAGAAAACTGTCACCTCTGCATTGGAAGCGAAAGAAGTAGCCACCGTGAGAGCTATATAGACAATGATGGTATTACACGTGGTGTAAAGAGTCTTTGTTCGATATGATTTTTTTCAGCCAATACTACTAATTATAATACTTCTTGGGTTCAACGTCCCAAAACCACCATATGACTATGAGAGACATCGTATTGTGATGGGGTCCAGAAATTTCGACGACCTGGGCTCTTTAGGTGAAACTAAATCTAAGCACACGGGCCTCAAGCATTTTCACCTCTATCGAAAATGCAGCCGCCGCGGCCTGGCTTTGATCCCGCGACCTGCCGGTCAGTAGCCGAGTGCCTTAGCCATTACACCACCGTGGTGGGTTTGTTTAGCCATTAAAACACGTCTTCTCAAGGCTTGATGATTCTCGGCATGTGACCATGCACTCAACAAAACTCTAGTCATCACACACTGCGCATACTAATTTCAGTCGCTTTCCAATATTCATAACTGATCAGCACACCGCATCACAAGCTGGCTTCATTACGACATAGGGCGAAAACCAGTATTGTGCTAACATCGAACGTATGGTGCTGTCTTAAAATGTACTGTCCGAGAAATTATGAGTACTTGTGGTCTTTACCTGCTGGCCTCTAAAAATAAAAATATAGTTTGGGTAGCCCATTATTTGGGTAACCCATTCATTCAAAGTGCTCTCCATCTTCGGTGGAGAGCGCTTCGAATGAATATTCACTCAATAGTGTGCGTTCCTTTCTTCCCTACCCAAGACAAAAATATTGCGCCTGATCAAGCACTGCAGGCGATTTAATAGCGTCATACAATCGTTTTAGATTTCAGCGGAGTAAAATGTCACTGCGCCCTTCTAAGCAGCCGTTACGTATTTTCGACTGCAATTAGCGAGTAGATATGACGAAATAAAGGAGCGCTCACCAAATAATCTAAATGTGACAGTGCTCCCCACCTGCTTTATAGCGTATTATTCTAAGCAGTAAACTTTCGTGATCTGTTTAAACTCCAGGACATATCTCTTCACAAAATTGCAAGTTACCTTGTCCCAACTATATTAGAAACTCTATCCTGGGTTGCTTTTGAGAGTTGTGACAATTAGTGTCACGAAGCTCAGCATTTAAAAGCGTTTGAAGCAGTTAGAGCGTTCTTCAAGAAGTATTTTGTCCGCTTCTAGATAAAGTAGATTCCATAAAGGTTCGTTCCCGTTAAATAAAGGTGTTCCAATTTACACTTCCAATACTCAGTATTGGAAGTATACAACTCTCTAAACTATTTACAAAACTAATAGTTTGTAAAATTAAGGCGACATTATAGTTAAATCAACCACAGAATCAAGCAGAATTTCGTACAGGCTACTCTACAATAGACCATATTCATACTATAAATCAGGTAATTGAGAAATGCGCGGAATACAAGCCAGCCATATATACATAGCTTTCATAGATTACGACAAGGCATTTGACTCAATAGAGACATCAGCAGCAATGCACGCACCAGGACATTGAAGAACATAACATAAACATACTGGAAGAAATCTGCAGTGCATCCACCACTGCCATGGTTCTCCATGAAAAAAGGGAAATAATCACAATAAAACGCCAGGACTGCGCGGAAGGCCCAGCACAGCACAGCGAAAGCTAGAAGAACGCCTTCCAGAGCTTTTTCCTAAACACTCATCGCGGAACTGCCGCAAGCACACTTGCTTAATACCCACTGCAGCACAAATATTAAGAAATTTTGGGAGGTAGGCCGGCATTTGCTATACTATTTTTCGTCATTCATCTGAGAAGCGTGGTATCCGCTTAACTATTGTGAGGAATTTTGTGACAATTGTTCATGCAGTGGCTGACGACGATTAGGAATGATGTGTGAAGTGGGTACGCGGCACACTTAATAGGTGATTAAGAACATGCTTTTGTAGTGGATTGGTGGAGCATTGGACGACCCATTCGTTACACTTTTCGCATTGAGCGGCGACTGGCTATTTTTTCTCTGTTTTAAAACGCTTTATCAGTCGTATTAACGCAATTGCTTTTCCGACATCAAGCCTGCCGAAGGCAAGTTTGCCAACAAGTCGCAAATACCAGCCGTGGCTCAGTGGTAAAATACTGGGTTGACACAGAGAAGCCGCAGGCTCGAGCCCCACTGTGTTATTGGTAAGAGGTTTCCTTTTTTAATTTCGTGAGATGTGTTTACGAGCACCGGCGGCGGTGACGGACAACTACAGCGCTTCGCGTGACCGAAGTTGTGATCTCAAAACAACTTTCGCTATAAAACAAGGGTGTAAGGTAGGAAGACACGATCTCTCGGGAGCTCTTCACCGCGTGCCTACTGGCCCGATACAATTGTTTATTGTTTACAGGAGTTTTCGACGACCCTAGATTGGGAAGAGCTAGAGGAAGAGTTCATAGAGAATACCTGTGATTCGTTGATGACATAACCTTGGAACAAATTGCAGCTCATGATTGCTGAACTTGACACGACAGTAGGTCTGATAATTATTATGCACAAAAATAATGTACAACATTCTCGGCAGAGAACAGCACTTCGCGATAGGTGGAGAGACACTGGAAGTTGTAAAGATATGTCTACTAAAAACAGGCAGTAACCGCGAAGCCAAACCACGAGAGTGAAATAACTAGAAGATTAAGAATAAAATGGATCACATCCGGCAAGCATTCACGAATCATGAATGGTAATATGCCACTAACTCTCAAGAGAAATGTATATAAGAGCTGAATCTTGCCAGTATTTATACCTACGGAGCAGAAAAGTGGAGGCTTACAGAGAGGGTTCAGCATAAATTGAGGACTACACAGCGAGCGACGGAAAGGAAAATGATGGATGTAACCTTAGGAGACAAGAAGAGAGCAGAGTGGGTCAGGGAACAAACCAGGGTTAAGGATATCATAGTTGAAACCGAGAAGAAGAATTGGACATGGACCGGCCTTGTAGAACGTAGGCAGAATAACCGTTGGTCATTAAGGGTAACTCCCTGGATTCTCAGAAAAGGCTAACGCACGAATGGGAGACAGAAAGTTAGGTGGGCCGATGATATTAAAGGGACTCTGAAACACTTTTTCAACTAACAGTTGAATTAAGGCACTGGAAGAGCTTATTGCCGCACAATTCAACGCCGCAAAAATTTTAGGAATCCGTCCAGTACGAGTGGAGTTACAATGATTTACTGCATGCTGCAGTTGCATTCTATCTTTTCTCGTCCCATGGAAAGCACTGAAAGGTAAGCAGGGAGAGATGGCATGGGCAAAGAAAATTAGTCACGCGCAGCTCGTGACCTTGAGTACTTTTTTTCTTTTCTTTTTTTTCTTCGAATGCGCGGCTTTTTAGTGTGCGTACGAATGGACATGTAGCGACCTCCTGCGGCCGAGTGCGACATGTCGCGCTCTGTAACGACCGAGTGCGACATGTTCAAATCAGCCAATGGCTGACAGACAGTTTTTTACTAGTGATTTTTGAGCGTCCTTCGTCATTTGTCGAGACAAAAGAATGCAATTTTCAGCTGAGTTTGATAATTTATTGTCTATTCGTGGCCGCATACTGCCATATATTATTGGGCTTGCGTGTTCTTGAAGCCTCTTCTACCGATCGGCCTAGTTTTCTGACTATGCTCAAAAAGTGTTGCAGGGCCGCTCTAAAATATTCACAGGTATAACGCGGCAACGAAAAGCACAAGGCCGGGTTGATTGGTGGATCATGGGAGAGGGCGTTGCCCTGCAGTAGGCGTAGCCAGGCTGATGATGATGACACAGTATTCGTTAGTAATTTTTGAAGCCCTCGGCTTTCCCAGAGGTTCTAACGATATTCTTTGCGTTGCAGTCGATAAGTGATTGAAATGATGGTGCACTCTGTATACCTTAACAACACAACAGCGTCAAAGACATTACACGATTCCACGGAGTCAGTGGTGATGATTCGGTTGGTCGATCTGTCCATCCATCCATTCGCCCGTCTGTCCGTCAAACCCCCACGTTTATAATCAACTATAAAAATACCTTACCACCATCTAGTGATATTATACACAATTTTACTTCTAGGCGCAGACCCCATCTAGTGAGCAATTCATAAAGTATATCTGCCTACGTACTATGCTATTGACGGAAGCGATTCTACCACGAAGTTGATGTTCACGATGAAAGAGTTTGTGCCCCTACCTGTTTAACCATTTAACCTATATTCTACTGTGTCAGTAGTGAGTTATATGCATTTGTTAATATGTTTATTAGATTTCCGCTGTTACTCTACGTGAAAATGTTAGTTTTTGTGATGTAAAAATGTGAAAATGTAAATAGGTTCCTAAACACTGAGCTTTGTCGCATAATTATTGATGTGTACATAAAAAATAACTTTTTTAAAACAAAGTCATTAACGTTGGCCGTCCTCGAAGGGATCAGGACAAGCTACGGCTCTCCCTTAGCCGCGTGCGTATTGTGCTCTACAGCGTGCACAGTTTCTTATGAACACAAAGTAAATCAGAAAATGATGTCACATTAATCGAAATAGTTCATCTACTGCTTTTAAAAGACAGAAGCACGCTTTGATGACAAGTGAAATAAAAGAGCATGGTGTAACTTGAAGCCGCGTATTTGAGGAGGTACCATGCCTGTTCAGCACATGCTAGACTAAACATGGAGGAACAGTTGGCAAATGATTTGAGTTTACGCTTGTGAATGTCGCCCAGGTGTGCGTGCGTGCCTCACACATCTACGACCATGTTAGCCGTCTGGTGGTAGCCCCCTACGCTTGTGTGTGTCGGTTTAAATACTTTGCGTTAGCACTATTCACGTTGATTATGAACGCAATTATTTTAAACAGACACACAAGTGTGGGTGATTGTAACCGTACCATATGGCAAACACGGTCGTAAATGTGAGAGGCACGCACGCGTGCACCCGTGCGCGAATGCTGTTAATGCCCTTCAAAAGCGCAAGTACACACAGTTGGACTGTTTAAGCTGGAGGCTGCAATGCAGGACAAAAAAACGGCATAAACAACTACACCGAGCACTATCGTAAAGGTTGTCTTGTTTGTTTTCTCTCACCTCGACTGCATTTTCTTTTCTGTCTCACGCAGACTCTACGTGCCTTTGAGCCCGTTTCTCCTGCAGATATATGGCCTCCAACGTAGCTAAGCGGCGCCTAGATACGACCAGGAACTCGGAAGATTAGAACTTCACGACGTTTACGAGTAACTGTAAGTTACCGTAGGCGCATCCCGCGGCCGCTTCTGGACTGAAAGGTTTTCCACCCTTTGTGCTCAACGTTCTGCTCGACATCACCGTCTACTGGGAAGCGAGCCTATGGTTCGGCATCACGGTCTTGTCATCCGGCACACGTAATGGTGACACTAACATCATCGTTGGCAGAGCCCTGAGACGTTTCCGTGCTACGCAAGCAAAAGTTAGCGGAGCTCAACGACATTTCTTATCTCTTACGACGACGTGACTAGCAGGATGACTGTGCATTCCTCAGCACCGGACCAGTCACTGGACACCGTGACGCTCAAAGAACTGTGTCGAGATGAAATGGCCCTCAGGAAGGAAGGAGGAAGGAAGCGACAAATTGGAGACGGCAGGGAGGTTGACCAGAAAGACATCCGGTCGGCTATCTTACACTGGGGGACTAGGGAAGGGGACAAGAAAAATGAGAAAGAGGAAAGATAAGGAAAAGAAAAAAGGAGAGATAGTGATTTCACTGCAGCGTGTAGATGTTTGCCACAAGTCAGAGGCATTCACACAAACACGTCTTTCTTAAGAAACACAGCAGGGCTTTCACTGCCTTGTGGGTTGTCGAGGAATGTGCACACTGCTTTACAAGCACCTGCACAGAAAGACGCCGATCATCCAGTCACCGCATTGCATTGGCACGTACTTGTCTGTCTGAGACCAATCGAAGACAGTGGCATAGCAGGTGTTCGATATTTTCATCGGTGCCGCTAACATCGCATGCCGCACTGTCAGTCCTTCTGATTAACGTGCTATAAACTTTCGTGCAACAACTCCCAGCCAAAGGCGATAGAGAAGCGAAGCTTCACGTCGATGTAGGCCTGAGGGAAGCCGGATTTGTAGTGAAGGGTCAAGCTCGTGCAGTCTTGTACGTCGTACGCTTGGTGCTTTCCGCTCGGTCGGTGTAAGATTGTGGGCCAGTTGACGAATCTGCATCGCCGCGTCCGCTCATGAGAGCGGAATCAGAACGCTTTTTGCTTTTTCGTGTTACTTGTGAGCAGCATGGTCTGCAGAATAATTTTCGCTTATACCCCCAATGCCCAGGTAACCATTGAAAGACGATGGCGTGGACTTTTTGTATTAGGAGGTGGTGAAGTTTTATGGTTTGGTAGGTCAACTGGTCGTGGCACCCGCGTAGGAGAACTGACCTTAGACACTGTATTGCTGGTTTTGAGTCAGAAAACACAGCCCCTTGACTTGGTCTTTTTTCAGAACTGATGAGTTCCAGTGCACTACGCAAAGCCTCGAGTTCTACGGTTGTAGACGTCGTCGCATGTGAAGTCTTAAAGCGCCGAGTTACCCCTTGGGATGGTATAACCGCTGCTCCACCTAAACTGGACGGCGTATCGAGCCATCCGTGTAAATGTGCACGTGGTTACGATAGCTTTGTTCCAGTAGAAATAGACTTGGTTGTTTTAGGGCATGTGTCGGTAAGTATGATTTTCTCCGCATTCCTGGGAAACTCGCGGCCGGCTCAAGCTCCAAGGAGGAAGCAGTGGCTTTGATGCAGGTGGGTACGCCTCACTAAACGATGAGCGATGCTTGCAGACAGTGGCACCGTATGTCGTGCGGGGCCTCTCAGCAGCGAGGCTCACCAGGTGGTGGGAAGGGGTTCTGGCATAATGCCTGATGTGCATGCGCATTGTCTCGGTAATAATATGCGTCCTGATTGAGTGATCTTTAGTGATGGCAAAGGTTTCAGCTGTCGAAGCACTGTGGGGGTAATCCAAGGCTTATTTTAAGTGCTTGGGCTTGAATGCTCTGAATTCTGCGCAGGTTGGTCTTTCCGGTGTTAGATACTTCAGGTAAGCTGCAGTGTATCGCAAGAAACCGATAAACAATGCTCTTTACAGTTGTAGCATAGATGGTATGGGCATTTTTCATTTCTTTCTTGCAAAGAATTTGAACATGTGACATGTTGCAATAATCCGCTTCTTCACATAGTTCACGTGTGGAGTCCACGACATGTTTCTGTCCATCATTATCCCCAAGAACCTGTGGCTTCTGCTGACCGATATGTCTTCCCCGTTAATCGATATGCTGTAAGCAGACATCGGTTTCCGCGTGAACGCTACCATTGCACATTTTCCGCGGGAGTCATCGAGACCTTGTTTACGAAGGTAGCATGATGTCGTTGTATTAGCCTTCTAAAGTCGTGCGCGAAGCTGATGCCTTGTCACACCTGATGTTCAAATGCCGAAGTCGTCAGCGTAGATAGAAAGTTGTGCAGCTGGTAGTTGCTCGACCAGTCCAATCAGGGTTAGATTGAGAAGTGTACGATTCATATCTGGAAACTGGAGTAATTGGGTGCCGGCGTGGACGAGGCCACTATTGGACAGGCACAATAAGGTACCCGAAGACTAATATGCGCTGCGTTTTGTTACCACACGCTTTCCCGGCACTAGCCTTCAAGAGCACCCTATGCCTCGCCACCAGGTGTTGGTGAATACGCTCTCCCTCTTGGCCATGCAATATCCCCGAGAAAGTGCACGTTGCCCCTGATGCACCACGTGAGAGCTGTGGTCAACGATCGCGGCTCCAATTAGGGTGGATTACGTGGGGGGCGCCCAACTGCCCACACTGTTCCGGCACAGACCCTTGTCCAGACGACGAGGACTGCTCCCCAAGCTGGATTACATGGGCTCGCCTTCTCGTCCAGCCCAGTGTTTCAGCGTTCTCACAAGGAACACAATCCCACGTTGAGCCTTCCAGGATTACAGGTGCTTACCAAATTACCCGGCCCTGCCAGCACAGTTCTGTTGTACAAACATTGGTGGCAATCTTTCTCGGATGGAGGCAGAGTAGCCGTTCCACAAGCATCTACGACCACAAAGGTAATCATTGATGATGGAAGTTGGTCGTCGAGATGCATGACTAAGCGCCAACGGGAATGCTTCCACGCTAAGCGCTGCTGTAGCTGTCAATGGACTGTTGCCAAATTTATTTTATATACTTAAAATATTTCTTCTTAAAGTACTTTTTTAAAGACAGGTTTTACTTTCGTGTGCTACTGATTTCTCCATCATCCATGGTTCTTTAAGTATTCCGAGCCCTTTCACAAATATTGGTCATTAGCTTAATAAATAGAATATAATGACGTAATGCCCCACCGCGGTAGTCTAGTGGCTAAGGTACTCGGCTGCTGACCCGCAGGTTGTGGGATGAAATTCCGGCTGCGGCGGCTGCATTTCCGATGGAGGGGGAAATGTTGTAGGCCCGTGTGCTCAGATTTGGGCGGACGTTAAAGAACCCCAGATGGTCGAAATTTCCGGAGCCTTCCACTACGGCGTCTCTCATAATCATAAGTTGGTTTTGTGACGTTAAACTTCACATATCAATCAATCAATATTGACGTAATATTTGAATATTTTTAAAATGTAATCGAATGACCACAGCATTACAGAAAAATCTTTACAAATCTGCAGATTAGTAAATACATGAGTGATGTTCACTCACCACTAGAAATGCCCACGATGTCACTGGGTAGAAGTTGGAGGCCACAGGGATACGTTCCAGCCTCCTGATGCAAATGATAGAGCGACGTCACATTATAGTCACCTAACACCTGTTAATTACGGTTTATAAATCTGAAATTCAATGAAAAGCCAAGACCGGGATCCTTTTCAAGCAAGGAGCCTGCTTTCCTGAAAGGCAGCTTCACGTCAAGGAACATATTTATAACCGAACTTGCCAAATGATTATTATTGAGAAGGAGGAATAAAGTTCCTTGAGAACCAGGAGCTTGAGTGGCACAGCCTGCCAATTGGGGAGCCTCCGCCACTTCTCAGTCTCTGGTTGGCCCACAACTAAAAATTGATAACTGAAATTTTACTCTATTTATTGTGGCACTTTAAATGCTAGACAAACAAGTTAATTACAAAATATTTACTGCGTCAACGTGACAAAAGTTGGAATTACTCACATCTCGTTTAGGATATAGCTTAGTGTAAAATAGAAGAAACAGTATACCCTAAAGTGCATTTAGCTACGCTATTTTTGACACCATACATAAATTTAATGTCTTGTTACTGATGCACGTGGTTTTGTCGCCTGGTCTAACTGTCCTTAGATTATTGCGTTCTGCTACCTTTAAGCCAGGAAGCAGAAAAAAAAAGAAACCAAGCAAAAGAGAAAGAGAGAGAGAGAAAAGAATCCCCGTCCTCACTCAATCGCACGCTCACGCGCTCGCACTACAACTTTTGCTGCCTCATTTTTTCTTCGCACAGCAGTGGAATGGAATGGCCTTCCCTGCGACATTGCAGCCATCACGTGTTCACCAACGCTTGCGCAAAACATGAATTCATATTGTTTGTCAGAAGATCACTCTCTGTAACCTCCACTTGTTAACCCACCCTTTATGTATAATAACCCCATCACCGGGATCTTTAAGGTAATAAAGTGAAGTGAAGTTAATAAAAAGAAAAATAGATAAATGAGGAAATAGAGAGAGAAGATTGTCTTTTACTCTGTAAGTGCCTTTACACATTGCCTTTCGTCATACAGCATGTAATCAACCTCATTTGTGCAAATATATGCGTGTCCACTTAAGTTTAACCTGCAGGATAAAAAGAAACTTGTATGGAATCCCCGAGTCATACTTTCTTTCGATGCTGCGTAGCCCGTTGGATTTGGTGTAGAAGAGTTCGCCGCTCTGCACGCTGCTGGCGAACCGGCACACGATCTCCTTGCCCTGTGGTCACCGCGAGCGGCACCAGCCCCAGCAACCATTCGAATTCGATCGTGTCCTCATTCTCGAATAGGCGAACCACCAAACCCAGACACGGAGCGTAGCGCTGGTGCAACTCCTGCACCTGCATGCGAGGTGGGTGCGGAGCAGCGGGAGCCTTGTGCATTGAACGTTGCACCTGAGTGTGTGTCATATTATGCGTACAGCCTCTCTAGCTCTGCAGCCTAATACGTAAACATGGTGAATTTTTATTTTTTACCGTAAATAATTATTTGTTTTTCATGACCTTTTCAAATAAGGAGTATTTTTAACCTTTATTAATCGAGAGATTTTCGGCTCTTTTCACAGACAGTGGAAATAGGAAGTGAGGGCCGCCTATCTAAAATAAACCGCATAACGCCAAAATTAAGGGCAGTGACTTGAAGCAAATCACATGGTGAGTCAAATTTAAGCTCTAACAGCACACGTGGAGCCTCAAGTCCACTCGCATAACTGAAGTTTACAAAAATGTAGTTATATATAGATAGATACTAATGGTAAATATCATTTCATGACACAATGAAACGTCCATGCCTGAGAAAGTTCAAAACGTCAATATTGTATGCCGCAGCTCTTTAGTACTGAAGGAACTAAGGCGAACGTAGCACACGATATTCGTCACCAGTGGCACGTTCTGGAACACGGTGACTTAGTAAGACCCAAGAACCAATAATGTCAAGTGCTCAAAGTACGAATGAGAGAAAACAACATTTAAAGGTGCATTGCAAGATGGAATAAGCTGCGTGCATTACAGTCCGATTCAAGCATAATAATAATTATTATCAGAGCTTGCACGCAAGGCAGCCTCAAAGCAAAGCTGGTGTGCAGCTAGCTCATCTTGACTGTGGCGCCGCTGAGTGTTGGTGGCCGGAAGTTCTGTTGAAATGATTGAAGTTTTGTACCTGCTTCAAACAGCACACGCTGGAGCTTGTTTTCACGCGTTTGTGGTCGTCTTTCAACACTGTGAACGGTCTCCATTTTACCGTAACCATTCGAGTTTCTCAAGTTAATGGAAAAGTAGAAAGAAAAAGCCGACTTATTTCACTGCAAGCCGCGATACTCACGGCTTTATACACCAGGAGGAAAATTAAGCATCTTGTTCAAACTGGTGCCCCAAAAAGCCTTGAGAGGTACATACAGTTAAATTGAGCAGGCAAATAACTAAGGCCCACGAATCTATGTAGCACCCATTTTCTGCACGACTACAGCAACTTCCAGGTTCGCAGTTTTCACGGTTAGTTCGTCTGCTCGATATGTTCCGCTTCTAGAACAGAATGCGAGGACCGGTTTGAAACTTTCATCGCATCATTACACATCTGAGGCGTCTGAGAAGTGTTTTCATGACCTTCACATAGGCAGCAATTTGTGCAGCGTTGCATGCAATCACGTACAGCCAGCAATGTGAAGAGCATACGTGTGGGCCTTACTTACAGTTTTGCGCACATTTATCTTCCAAATATGCTACCCGGGATATATTTACTTAATATAGTAAGTCAGCGCTCCCTTACTTTCTCAAAAACCTAAATCCAAAGGCCACAGAAACGCGAAAAATCGCAGTCTTCGCCAAACGTACTTTCCGCTATCGTCTTTTTCGGAGCGATCATCTCAACGACCCCGATGTTAGATGTTTTAGTACTCTCGGCGGGGTTCCGTGTTTGAACCACCTGCATGAGCCGGCTGGTCTGCGCGGAACCAGCGCTTTTTGACTTAAAGCTACCATGCGCCATGCTCCAAAGTCTCGGCAAACTTCGTTACTTGCGTGATCTCTCCGCAGAGCGACTGGTTCGGATTTTCAAACCAGTCAATGTGCTCACGTGACAAAGTTTGTAGGTGATGATGTATCGCGATGGGATGAAGGTGGCACCGGTGGAGCTAGACTGGTTGGTAGAGCCGTCCATGTATACGTGGATTCTGTCAGCGCAGAAGGTGTGCAAACAGTCCAGAGTTGTTTGCTTCAAGGCCAAGCTAGAAAGGACTTTTCTAGTTCTTATTCCTGGGACGGAAAGACGCATATAGGGTTGTCGTAGGCCACACAAGGTGGACGGTGAATGCACCAAAGGTATAAAACCGTATGGTAGCAAATGGCGGTGGGAGCTGGCGACCTTAGAGAACGACGCCTGCGGTCGTTGTTCTGACAGAAATGCCCAATGGCTCGATACACTCCGTGAAATGTACTGAATATGTGCTCTCAGCACGCCGGTTGTGACGTAGGTCGTAACCGGGTGATCCCGAGCCAATATAACTGTCCCAGCAATTGAGGTAGTTCATGGTAGGCCGAGAAAAACACGTAGTGCTTGTGAATGCACGCTCTGAAGTGCTCGAATGTTTGACTTGTAAATTTCAGTAGGCAGAGGAGTACTGTAGCGCAATGCACCAATAAAAATGCTTGGTATAGCTGTAGCATGGAACTCAGTGATGGACCCCATGTTTTTCCAGCGATGCCTTTCAGGACGTGGGTTCGATGGAAGCGACTCGAGCATTTATTATTTCTTTGACGTGTTCAGCGAGCTGCTAGATTTGCTTCGAAAGCTGGGATAAGCCAGGTCACTGATTATTTTCAACATACCCGCAACGCAATGACTACCTCAACAAAACAAACGACACTTCACAGATCACACAGTAGCCATGAGCACAGCAGCAGGAAAAAGCAGGGTTATTTGAGCAGATACATGTACCATAACGAACGGAGTAGTATGCTTCATGTCGACACAGCTGCCATGCTCTATGGCCCGTGGAAAATCGCATCCGCTTTTTAGGCTCCGCAGGAAGGTTTCCTGCAGTGCCGCCAGTGATTCGCACTGATTGCCAGCTACCAGGCTGATCGTAGAAGATAAAGGTGTCATGGTCCGATTTCCCTTGATGTGGGCTTGCATCTGTGCAGTCGATGTGTCAGGCGTTAGGTTGGTGGGCAGCTGTACGGCATAAAAATAAGGGGTGCTGGCCTGGATTGTCGTAGTCAGCTGGTATCAGCAACAGGGTGACGACGATCTGAACGATGAAGACAAACAGATTCGTATGCTTCATGTCGACACAGCTGCTGTGCCCTTTATTGTATTTCAATCTGAAATGACAAATTTCCTTCGCGCTTTGAGTGTTTGTCACACCACTGGGAACGATAACGTTGGACAGGCAGAGGAATTTCAATGCGCCCGCACTGCGTCATTGGATGTATGGATGGATGGATAAGGCTGTACCCTTTAGATCGGGCAGTGGCTAGCGCCACCAAGCCGTAATACCTAATGAACCCAAATCTATATTTATTTTTTTTCCTTAAAAAGTGAGTTTGAGGATTCTACTTTGCAGTGAAGAGTTTAATTTTCACTCGTGCCTTGACTTTAGCCACCGATCAGATAACCTCCTTCTAGTTAAGCTACCCGCTTAAAGCCTATTTTGCCCTCCCGGTGCCTACACCCCATTGCTTTGAAAAACTCTGCGCCATCATCCTGAACTCTAGGGTGAAGCCGTTTACAGAACATTATCAAGTGTTCGGCAGTTTCTTCTTCCTCTCCACACGCACTGCATACTGTGTCTACCCCTTCGTATTTGGCCCGATATGTCTTGGTTCGCAGTACTCCCGTCCTGGCCTCAAGCAGTAGAGAACTACCCCGAGTATTATCATAGATCCTTTCCTTGGCAATTTCCTGCTTAAACATTTGATAGATCTCTAGTGCGGACTTCTTAATCATGCCCATTCTCCACATGTCCATCTCCGTTTCCTTCACTTTCTTCTTAACCGATAGTCCGTTTTGGTTTGGCAACCTGCTGTTTTCCAAGTATTTACTAGTCAATTTCCT